ATACTTTTAGCGGGCGATTATAAATAGAGAGATTAAATCGACCGGCGTAATTGATCCTTCGCAAACTGTTAGGTGAGTATTGCAGGTCATTGAACAAATGTGGGATTATTTTCACTGCATAAATCGCCGGCTCTCGATTTCGACCGTCACGACTTGACGTCCACGCCACTGAGGGGCAAGGACCGTTGTTCCTACTTCCTCTCCCGAGGAAGTACGAAGGGCGCCGCGCAAGGATTTTTTGTAGCCTCCCAATATCAGACGTTAGCGTTTCCCACCGCGAGAAGTCATGGGAACACATTAGAGAGAGAGAGAGAGAGAGAGAGAGAGAGAGAGAGGGGGGGGGGAGAGAGAGAGAGAGAGAGGTCGCGCAAACGTCCTCGCGTGAAAAGTCTAAGAGATTTGCGATCGCACCTTGGGAAATTCCCGGGCCGATCGTCGGTCACGCGTTGAATAAAGCTTCCATTGAGTTCTCCGTCCTTGTTCAACTTGACGCGATGTCAATCTACTCGTTCATCCAGCACGAGGGACTTGTGGGTGGGGTTTAATTGTCCGCCTAGAATAGCCAAAATGCAAATAATTTTGGATACTTTCGGCGTTCAATCGCCGATCAATATTCTATCGTTGTCGGTGCAACGAACGGACTCGACTCGACTCGTAGGTATCCCGTGAGATCAAGATTCACGACTCTCGTCCTAGACAGGATCCTTGCGAGATCTCACGTGGCTTTGCTGCAGCACATGCAACGCGCACTCCTCAGCGAACTCAGCCTCTCGGCGACGTCGCGCGTAGCGCCGAGCGCGCGAAAAATACCGGTGCTCATTATTTCGCGCTATCTACCACGGCATGAATGGAAACCGAAATCGAAATGAAAACGGCGAGAAGGTCATGCTCACGTGTCAGGAATAACACAAGCGTGGCGTTGACCCACATTGTTTTTGAAACGCGATTAAACTCATTGAAAACGACCGAAGGTAGATTAATGGCGTCGGGGCGCGTAACCGCGAAAAGCGGGGCAAAAAGCGAAACAAATTTAACGAGCTGTGAATTATGAAAATCGGTGACAGGCCGCCGCTTTTAAATGCTCTCTCGCGCTCTCTCCGGTCTGCCCTCCCGGGTCGCCGGCTCTCGCTCGCTCGCTCTCCGTCTCTCTCGCACCAGTTTGGTTTGGGCGCATGCCAGTGTGTGTTGAATCGAAACGATTCGAATGCAAAATAATAATAAAACAGTGGAGCTCGTTGAAGGCGGGTGTGGTGGGCGTCGGGGGTGGGAGAGCGGGTAGACGACAGAGAGGCGGGGTCGGCAGCGCATTAACGCAATTAACCTCCAATTAATAACACATCAATTGACACCCGGTCAACTTGTTGCATCAGAGCAGGCCGATAATATGCTGAACGCGTGTGAACCGTATGTGTACGTACACAATGTGCCCCCGTGTGCGCCTCCAGCGCGTGTAAGTACCTCCGTGCGTACATTTCGCTTGCGCACGCGTGTGTGTGTGTGTGTGTGTGTGTGTGTCTATGTACAGATATGCGCATGTACCAGCCCACATTCTCGCGCGCGAGCGCGAGCGCGAGCGCGAGCTTAAGCAAGACCATGAGCTCGTGCGTGCGCCCGCGTGTTTATGCGGTGGCGGATGCGTGTTACGGGGTGCGAGGGTGGTACGCCTATCCCCCGTGTCGTAGGCATAATGACGAAACGAATGTTACAATAATTTTATATCGGGAGGGTGAAGTCGCGTACATACCTAAGCGGAGGCGTGCGTGTGCGTACACGACGGACATGGACTGATGAGCACAGTCGAGTTCCCATGCAACCCCCTGCGAGAGCGCGCTCTCGCCACATGACACCTACAGGGGGTGGAATTCCGATGCACATGCCATTGCCGTGTTACCTCGACAACGCCATGTGGGGTACGCGCACCATGTAATGTGTGTCTCGGCCGGTGACTGTCTCGTTTCTTCTCTCCTTCCTGCTTACCTTGCTTCCTTCCGCTTCTTCGGCCGTTTCGCGCTTTCGGCACAGCTGAAAATTACACGGAGCCGCTTCGCCGGTTCGCCGCGTCGGCTACTCGTGTGAAATTTTGCCGCGCGGCGCTCCTGAATCGCAAAGTATCTCCGTACGTCGCATCATCTACTTAGGAAAACGATCGCACGTAATATAGATCATCACCTTGAAGTTCCATCGAGGGCTCCCCATGCATTAATCCTACGTATTACTTGCGGACCCTATCACTGTGCACTATAATCGCTCTTTGAAATCTACCCACCTGCTTAAACGATAAATATCGTATGACGCACAGGAAATAGTCATTGGTGGTTCGTCGATGTGTCTTTCTTGCGCTCCGGGGCAATAGTCGTTGATCTTAGCACGCATCTCGGCGACGCGTGCCCACGAGCGTTTTTCCACGTTTTTCCCCATTTTTTGTGCCCGTCGCTTGGTTTTTCAATTCAAGGGAGGGAACAATTGCGCTGCACGATCGCGTTCTCGTCGCGTTCGGTCGTTCGGCAGTGCCAAAAAAGATCCGGTCATCGCACGTATATAAGACTGCCTGTCCGCGTGCTGGTCGCAGCGGCGCCTCTGTCCGCCTTCGTGAACGTTCGTCGCGTTCGTCGCGTGTAATTAGCTCGTCGTGTCTGCTTCCGAATCGACGCAACAGTGGGAGAGTTCCTGAAGCCATTTCCGGCGGGGCACCGGCACCTTTTTGTTTCCCCCTTCGCGTCCCACGCATGACGGCGCACGGGGAAGCACCGATCAAAAATAGGAAAGACCAGACGTTCGTCCGACCCCCCTCGAAGCGTCCCTTCCTATCCAGGTACAATCGTTCCGTAGACGTTATCGAGGTCGACACCATATGTCACCTTTGGTGTAACGAGTCCCGCAGCGCGAGTCCGCCACCCCTCCGAAGTAATTGCCAACGGAACAAGCTGGCAATTTCTCGGAACGAGAATCGCTCCTCTTCGAGGAAGCGGCCGAGAGAACGCGTTAACTTGTCGTAATTGAACATTTACGTAATAATGATTCACAAACGCCTCTCGACGAGGACGCGGACGATGCTTCAAATGCGACAACGCATTCGCTCGCTCGTCTCGCAGCGGTGCGAGATCCTTCCTGTCGAAGCGCAACTTGCGCTTTTCTCCCTCCCTCGTTGGAAGGAGAAAAAGGCGAGAAAGCAGTTGTATATATTCCTCCTCTCCACCTCCCTCGCTCGAACGTTTCTTCCCCGAGACTGACCATCCTCGGTCAGTGCGAAAAACTCAAAGTCCACCACCCTTGATCCACTCGCGCGATCGTTCAACTGCTTTCGCGTCGCGACGCACCACGTCTTCCGACGCGAATTCTTCCGACTTCTCGATGCGCGACGGTATCAAGGTGTCCTCGAGCGCATGGGGTTTACGCGTTAGCGTAAATGAACTATGGAATATGTCGGCTTATTGAGCGCAGGTGCTTTAAACTGCTCAGCTGTTGCTTCGAATCTCCCGTACGTGTGCACAGACACGTGCGCGCCCGCACGCTCGCCGTGTGTCGGTGTGCGTATTCAAGCTCTACGCCGCAATACATACGTGCGCTCGCACAACCGTCTCACTTACGCACTTATACGCAGCGTCAATTGAACTGCATGACGATCGGAACGTCTAACAGGCCGTGCACCATTGACGAATGAAGAGCGATTATTTACGCGCGCCAACTATCGTGCCGGATTCTATTAAAATATTTCGCAGCGGAACTGCCGAGGGGAGGAGGCGGGGGCGCAGACTCGCGTCGACGACGAAGAAGCGGGGGGGGAGGGGTGGGGGTATCGTCGGGGGCGCTGCAGTAACGCGAATTCTCGCATCCCCGATAACGGGCGTCTCGCCGAGCCGACTGTCGGCTCAGAAGCGAAATCGAAAAGCGGACGCGTCGTTCGCGAGAACTCGATTTTATCTTACTCGTCTCTCTCTCTCTCTCGAGCGAGCGAGCGAGCGAGCCGGATGGACCTCGTGCGGCGGCCTATGATCGAGCGCGCAATGAGCGGGCTATCAATTACTTTTTGTACCCTTTTCTTTCGCCGAGTATCGACCAACGACGGCATGCATCCCCGCGACGGAGAGACCGTTCCAGGCGGAACTGCTTATGTATCGAATAAGATATTCAACGCAAGTAATTTTCTTATGGCCGTTTCTCAGGCAAACCACCCCTTCTTCGCTAACCCCGTCGTAACTCACTGTACTTTGAGTTTTTGCTTCGAGCGGCCGAGCCGGCTGTTCGGACGAGGGTAAAACACATCGCTCGCGACAGTCACTCGCGGTTCTTCTTCGTCGCCGTCGTCGTTCCCACCGTCGGCGTCGTCGTATCCTCCTCCGTCTATCGTGGTCGATCACTGTATTTTTAACCGATATCCCCTTACCCACCCGCGTTCTACCGCGACGTAACGTGACATCATCGTGCGATGAACCGATGTACTCTTCCCAATTGAACGTTCGTGTCCGAAAACATGGGAAATGTTCCCCGCGCTCTCGCTCCTTGGGACTCGCTCGTCGCGTCGTCGCGTGCGTGTGAAGCGGGCAAAGTGAAACGTAAAAAGAATACGAAAAGACGGGGGAGGAAAAGAAAGAACGGACGAGACAATCACGCGTATCTCCGTTCCTCTTTGCGAGAAATGTTCGCGCGCGCGCGCGCGCGCGCGACGAAGCATCCGAACAACCGAGAGAAATTTTCGTACGTCGCGCTGACCTACTCTCCGCGCGTTTCTTTCTTCCGCAAACTCGATTGATAGTTAAAATAAGATGCGCCAGTAATAAGAGAGGCAAGTCCGTACACACGATGGCGCGTACGCCTTCCGACTACGGAAACGATGTTTCTTTCAACGTGACGGTCTATATACAGCGCTTAAAATAATCCACGGCGCGCTATTACTGTTGCCGTGAATCGATTCTGTCATTACATATATAGACAAAGGTTGTCCGATTCGTCTTGCCGGCACAGATCGCTCTAATATGGACCGTCGTCTCTCTTTGTTGCAGACGAATAGGAGAATTGCGGCCACGAAAATCGAGACGAGGGAGCGAGGGGCACTTAGCCCTTTGGCGAGCTCGAAGGATGCAGCTCCCAGGCGGGAGCACGAGGATTCCGCCCGCGAGAGCACCGGCTTCTCTTCTGGTAATCATCAACGGCAACAACATCGCGACGACCACCGGGAGCAAACGCATCAGTAGCAAGAGCAGCAGACGCGGCGGTCCCGGTTGCAACAATCACCGTAGCAGAAGTAGTAAGAAACGCGATAGCAGCGGATACAGACCCTATAACGAATCGACCCTTCCGAAGAAAACCCGCCATCCCGAGACGAAGGCGGACGGCCGACACCGAGTCACCGTGCAGCAGCAACCTCAGCCGTTGGCGTCAGCTCTACGGCGGAAGGTGCGGGGCGAGGAATAGTGAAGAGAAAGCGCAAAAAAAGCGAGAAACGACGGAAGAAGAAGAAGAGGAGGCGCGAGAGAAGGAGAAGAAGGAGAAGAGGAGGAAGCAGGAGTTCGTTGGGAAAGAGAAGGGTGCCGGCGTCGTCGTCGTCGGCGGCGGCGGCGGAGGAGGGGGAGGAGGAGGAGGAGGAGGAGGAGGAGGCGGCGGAGGAGGCGGCGGCGGCGGCGGCGGAGGAGGTGGAGGAGGCGGAGGAGGAGGAGGAGGACGACGACGAGGTGGAGGAAACGGCGGCGGCGGCGACGACGACAGAGGAGAAGGCGGAGGAGACGGAAAAGGAAGAAGAGGTGGAGGAAGAGGAGGAGAAGAAGACCGAGGAGACGACGAAGGTAAAGGAAGCAACGCAGAGGGGTGGCTGGTGGCGAACGCGCGCGCGAGGGGTGGGGATCAGCAATAGCTAGAAGGTACGAGGAGAAGAGGCGGCTGTGGTAGGAGAAACGGAGAGACTACATAGTGCAGAAGCCGAGGCAACGCACTAAGCCACGAGGGGCTATTCGAGCGAGAAGGGGAGGGGTGACAAGGAGCCCTGGCGGGGAGGGGACGCGGAGGCCTTCGGGGGGCCGACCAACCAGACGGCCGATGATGTCATCGGAGGAGGAGACCGAGTGTTTCGCCCTCTACGGAGCAACCACGGAAAGCAAGCAACAGCAACTCCTGAAGAAGCAGAAGCGCACCAGACAGCGCGTGGACGCCGGCGAGCCGCGCAACAGCTACTCAAGTATACCGAACTTCAGCTCCCGACCATCCTTTCTCGGCGGTGGTCTATACGGCTCGATCTTCAGTGGTAGTGGGGCACCGTCGCACCAACAGCCGCAGCAGCAGCAACCGCAGCAGCAGCAGCAGCAGCAGCAGCAACCGCAGCAGCAGCAGCAGCAGCAGCCGCAACAACAACAACAACAACAACAGCAGCAGCCGCAGCAACATCATCAGTCGCAATCGCAACAACAACAGCAGCAGCAACAGCTCCAGCAGCAGGCTGGAGCTACAGGCAGCCAAAGTCATTTAGGTACAGTTACGACGGGTCCTACAACCCAGCAGCATTCCGCCCACGCGGCCTTCGGCTTCTTCGGGGCTCCGGGCTTCGGCCCCGCCAAGATGCTGAACGAGTTACTAGGGCGGCAGGTGAAGCAAGCCAGTGACGCTGGCGGATCACCGCCCGAGGGTGGTCACGGGATGACCGGTGCCGGCATGGATCCCGCCTCGAATCTGCAACCGGGCGCCGTGGTTAATTGCGACGACCCCGCCACGGCCGACCTCACGCAGCACATGCTCCGCGACATGCTTCTGCAGGGGCGCAAGCTCTCCGCCCTCGGTGTGCAAGAGCAGCCCAACAATAACAACAGTATACACAGTAACAATAATAACAACACCACCGCGGAATTACTTAAGTCTCAGCATCAGCAGAGTCCCCAGCAGCATCAGCAGCAGAACAGTGATAGTGCGCGCAGTGGAACAGTGCAGAGTGGCGGGGAGGAGAGTGGTGATGGCAATAACGTCGTGAATAGCGCGAACCACAGTGACCGTGATACCGTGATGCCGGGCGATGCTGAGGACAGCGCCGAGGATGCTGCGTCCGCGGCGCGCGCGATGGAGGAGGCTTTCGCCGAGGCCGGTATGGAGCCGGGAGCAAATCTAGACGGATCGGATTGCGAGCAGAGCTTACCACCCAGCCCAACGGCGCCGAGGTCAGGCTCCGTTTCTGTCAAGGAGGAGATACAGGAGTCGCTGAATATCAAACGTAGCCCCAGTCACTCCCCCTGTCCAGTCGTGCCGAAGACCGAGACGAGCTCTCCGACGACGGAGATCAAACGCGCCCGCGTGGAGAACATCGTCAGCACGATGCGCAGTAGCCCGGCGCTACAGCCGGCTACGGTGAACGGCTGCAAGAAGCGCAAGCTCTACCAACCTCAGCAGCAGACGGTGCACCACGTTATCCAACATAGTGTCAACGATACCATGATGGACGACGAGGACGACAGCGAGGAGGAGGAGGATCCAGCGACGATCAGGCAGAAACGGGAGGAGAAGGATAACCTGAAGTCTCAGCTGAAGATGCTGCACGAGCAATTGGCGGAGATGCAGCAAAAGTACATCGAGCTCTCCAGTAGAATGGAACCGGACACGAGTGAGAGCGGCGACGCGCCACCCAGTCCTCAGCATCAACCGCAACCGCCACCCAGACCGCCACGACCTCATCCACCGCCGTACAACGGCCTCCCAGCCCTCCCACCCGATCACCCGCACGCAGCGGCTGCCGCTATGTATCACATGGGGCACAAACTTTACTTCGAGCAACAACACGCCGCCCTCGAGAGGATGAAGCAACATCAGGAAGCGGCCGTGAGGCAGCAGCAGCAGCAGCAGCAACAGCAGCAGCAGCAGCAGCAGCAGCAGCAACAGCAGCAGCAGCAGCAGCAGCAGCAGCAGCAGCAGCAACAGCAGCAGCAGCAGCAGCAGCAACAGCAGCAGCAGCAGCAGCAGCAACAACAGCAACAGCAGCAGCAGCAGCAGCAGCAGCAACAACATCAACGACAAAGTTCGCCACCGCCACCAAGCCAGCCTCAGCAACAGAGCCAGAACAACACTGGACCTTCGACGCCGCAGACGCCGCAAATGCAATCAGCCACCACGCCTATACAACATAAAGACTTCCAGGAGAGGTTAAACGTCTTCAGGGGCGCCGCGGCGGCAGCCAGCTCGTCCGGTCCTCACATCACCGGAGCCGACTTGGAAGGCTTAGCGGATATCCTGAAAACGGAAATCACCTCTTCCTTAACCAATCTGATCGATAGTATAGTCGCGAGGTTCGTGCAACAGAGGAGGTTTCTCGGTAAGCAGACCGAGGCAGCGCAGGCTGCCGCCGAGCAGCTCAACAAGGACCTCCTTCTGGCGAGCCAAATGCTCGAGAGAAAGTCGCCGAGGACGAAAGTAGTCGATAGAGGAGCACCACAACCACCCGGTGGCCCAAACGGGCCACGGGGGCCCCTCAACGGTGGGCCCCCTCCTCCACAACCCACGGCATTTTCGCAAATCGGGTCCATAGGTGGTGTTCCTCATGGCCCTCACGCTGGCCCCACGGAAAATAACCTCAACCAAATGAATCAGCTGCCCTCGCACGGGAGACCAAGCGTTGGAATGTTTCAGACGCCAAAACCGCCGACGATATACGCGATGGCCTCCATGCAGGCGCAACAACAGCAACAGCACCAGCAGCAGCATCAGCAACAACGCGAGCAGCAGCAAAGGGAGCAACAGCAACGCGACCAATATTGCAATATGAGGGGTGACGAAAGAGAAAACAGGGATTCGGAACAAAACGAAGCCCTCTCGCTCGTCATGACGCCAAAGAAAAAGCGTCATAAGGTGAGCATCGCTGCGTATCACACACGTTGGATATATCGATGCGATTTGTACCGATAAATTTTCGCTGAATCTTCCTCGTATATGTAAGCGTCACAAGGATGTCAATTTTCTTAATTGTCGAAGATTTTCTCAAAGTAACGTTGCGTAAATCGAACAAGAATACAAAATATCGCGATCTCTCGATTTTTCACGATCTCTTATTTATTCCACACGACTAGTTAGAGCGAGAGAGAGAGAGAGAGAGAGAGAGAGAGAGAGAGAGAGAGAGTGTGTGTGTGTAGTGTATAGAATTAAATAATATTAAAATATTAATTTTTAATTATACAAAGGGACTTGATTGATCTGTCTAAAAAGAAAATACTAATTAGTACGCTTTACAGGTGACGGATACGAGAATTACTCCCAGGACGGTGTCTAGAATCCTAGCGCAAGAGGGAAACGGATCGCAAGGAGGTAGCGACAGTCCCCCGCCTCCTCCGCCACCGAGACCCTACCACGCGCCACCACCGATGCTGCCGGTGTCTCTGCCAACGAGTGTAGCGATACCAAATCCAAGTCTCCACGAGAGTCAAGTGTTCTCGCCCTATTCGCCGTTTTTCAATCCTCACGCGAGTCATCCTGGTCAAGTACCACCTCCGGGGCCACATCATTTACCCGCGAGTCCTCCGGGTGGAGGTGTAGAACTCAGGGATTCCCCTCCACTGCCCCATCCGCCGGCTATGTTGCATCCAGCCCTACTGGCGGCAGCCCAGCACGGCAGTCCGGATTACGGACACCTTAGGATGGACAGCAACGACCGAGCTAGCGACTGCAACTCAGGCGATATCAGCTACGATGGAATTCAGCCTACAATATCCTTTACTAATACTTGTGCGCTAAGAAGCAGTCGTGAGCATCGCGTGAGAACTTCAGATAACCGAGTCGAAATGATTTTATGTTATTACGGTAATTATACACAGAAGAGAAATATCGTATCTGTCGGGCGTTCATTCTCCTACAAAAGGGGACTGTTTTATCGCACAAATAGAAAAATCTTATCCGAAGGTATATCGCGCGATCGCAAGGGATATAAATACGTAATGCCACTCGGGGGAAAAACGGCCAAGACGCGCGGGAATATTTTTCGAGATAGACTGCAAGTAAAACTCGAAAAGTTTGGGATGTAGCGGCGAGTGTTTGAGCCAGAGGGGTTGAGAGAGAAAGAGAGAGATGAGCGAGAGGGTGGGGGAGAAAAAGGGAGAGAGACACACACACAAACACAGAGAGAGAGAGAGAGAGAGAGAGAGAGAGAGAGAGAGAGAGGGGGGGAGAGAGAGAGAGAGATAGAGAAAAAGCTGAGCAAATGGCTTGCTCATTCGTCCGCTCGCTCGTCCGCTCACTCGCTCTCTCCGAGGGCGGCTGGAGCGAGGAAGCTCGGACGAATGTTAGATTAGTTTGCCACGGAGTTAGGCTAATGTTGGCTGCACCTACGAGTAGAGTTTGTCCGGCAACAACGCACCGAGCCAAAAGTTCTTTGCCTACCCGGCCCACCCTCAGCCTCCAGTCTCACCCAACTTCGCAAGCCAATAATCTGTCCTGCAATTTCGCAATTCAGCCTGAGCATTTCGGCATTTCGCGAACTTCCCATCTCGAGCGTCTCCTCGACTTATCGTAGATAAGCCACTTTTACCGGCTTCGCAGTGCTAAACTTTGCGCATCGAACTTTGCCCGCGAATATGCACCTGCTCTTCCATCGTGTGCGCGCACGATGGTGAAGAAAGAGACGTCGTTTCAAACCCTACAGCTATTTTTCGGTCACCTCTTGCATGATACATGCGTGGCAATTTGAAATTATTTACTCGACTGAAATCTCATGGGTCGATGAGAGGTTGCTCGCTTCCGTAAGCGACATTTCTTTTTCATATTTTCTCTAATGACGCACCTCTAATGACACAATTTTTAAATACCGTCCATTTGCCGTGTATAATTATTTACGATTTTTTTTCTTACTTTCGGTCGATAAAACGATGAATTTTGGAATATTGTAACATTTCGCTGAGAGAGGCTCTTCCGCTCGACTCTCCCCGAGCATCGTCCGCGCTACAAACTCGCGGTGGCTGAAGGATCGCGTTACAGACGGATAGTCATCTCCAAATCCTATCCGAATCCTCGTCCTCGTGACCTCTTCCGGGACGATGAAAATAGCCGCGAAACTGCGCCTGGTTAGGACACACTCTTAGGATGGTCGGAGGGAAAAGCGAAGCGGCGAGCGCGGAATGGTTGAGCAGCCCGATTATCGCGCATGATCCACCACGCCGCGGCTTGCTTCTGAGTTACCGAAAGAGCGTGCAGGGAGACCACCCGATAGCTCCGCGGACCGGAGTTCGCCTCGGTGCAACGAGGAAAAAAAGGCGAGTGTGAGCGCGCGCCGGTCGCCCGATGCAATGTCGGAACTGCATCCACAGGCGGCCGTTGTTGGACCGGGTCGCTCGATCGGGGTAGCGTGTCGTTCTTTGCCGCCTTTTTAGTCGGCCTTTGATGTAAAATCAATGGCGCATTTTTTCACTCCCTCCTCTCTCTTGAGGTAGGTCGAGCGCATCGTCGCGCATCGCCGTGACGCGCGACCTGCTGTTCCGCGCTCCTCCGGACGCATCCTAGTCTCGTCGCGCGCGGTCGTACGCGCTGGTATCGGACGCGGTCGAAAATTCATCTCACCGCGCGCGCGCAGGCACGCGCGGTTCTCCCTCGAGTGTTCTCGAGTAAAGCCCGAGTCGCGAGATCGCGATCGATCGCGGCTCCCTACGGCGCGGCTCTGAGTCGCGGACCAGCACGCACGGAACGCGTACCCGCTCCTACAAGCCCGTAAATTCGCTGGACAGCGTGATGTCGCGTTAAAACACGAGAGACTCGAACGGACGAATTAATTGAATAAGATCGCGATGAAACCACATGTGCCGAGATCCTATTACCGGTAAGGAGTCGGTAAGGCTTCTGCTGAGGATACGGCCAATCGTAGATTAACTTGGTGGTAAGAACCCTTCTGCCGCCTACCCTCGCCATAGCCATAGCTTGTACGATTTCTAATCCGACTCGATACGAAAGAAAACACGATTATTTCTGAGATACTCTGGTATCCGCGAAATAACTACACACGTATTTATATATCTCTCTCTCTCTCTCTCTCTCTCTTTCCCTCTCTCTACGACACTTTCTCTCTCCCTCTTCATTCTCTCAATCCTCCCCTTCGTAACCGTAAGGTAGTGAGAGAAAGAGAGGGAGAGAGAGAGAGAGAGAGAGAGAGAGAGAGAGAGAGAGAGAGAGAGAGAAAGAAAGTCTATTTTTATATCATTTGCGTATATTTGTGTACACATCTATTTCCTTAACCGCGGTGAACTCGTCGACGCTGACGCCGATGCATCTGAGGAAGGCGAAGCTGATGTTCTTCTGGGTCAGGTACCCGTCCTCGGCCGTCCTTAAGATGTACTTCCCCGACATCAAGTTCAATAAAAACAACACAGCGCAGCTAGTCAAGTGGTTCTCCAATTTCCGGTGAGTAATAGCCGATATTTGAAATTTAGCGTAAGATCACAGCGGACAGTGTTTCAATTAGATGTCGTTCTGCAAGTGACTCGCGCTTGTCCACACGAGATTGTCGTCCATGAAAAAAAAAAAAAAGAAAAGAAAAAAACTAAGTGGGACATACGTTTGATCGAGAAAATAAGATTCGCCCGTACGTGCGAGAGAATCTCGCGCGATATTGAAAAATAGACGAACGAATCGACGCTCTCACGGATGCTCGTCAAGACGCGAATTGTTTTTCGTTGAATTCGACCAGCTCGGTATTCGACTCGTAAGTCGAAAGTGAACGCAGTCGAATTGCGGATCGCGATCGGCTAGTGTAATAACGGAAGCGACCAACCGAGAGTCTCCACGGGGACGAGCGGACAGTCGTGTCGAGCGGATCTCGAGGACCTCTCTTGGCGGGCAACCTGTCCTGTCGCCACTCCCCGACGTAATCTCGGACATTTTCGACCTCATTCGGTATTCCCTCGAAAGTATGAAATCGTGGAAGACGTTTCTGATAACGGGCGCGTTTCGTGTATGCAAACGAGAACGAGGTTTTCGAGGAGGGATCGACCACTCCCTTTGCAGAAGCGGTCAGAGCCCAAGAGACGAGAGTCACGATGGGTGTGCCCGAATCTTAATTACCCTCTCTCGTAGCAGCTGGGGATAAGTAACGCTGCCTACATAGCGGCAGGTATAGAGGCGTAGGAGGCCGTAGGTACCGACGCATACTGTCCGGCAGGCATTAGCCTGATTATAATTAGGCTGAGTACAGCACAGATCCAAGATACAAGGCGGTCGAAGGCGGCGAGCACGTGGCCTCGTCGGTACATTATTACCGCTTTCTTATCGTGAGGCATTCGCGACCGCTTTCTCTCTCTCTCTCTCGTAAAATAGTAAGTCTCTTCCGTGGTCCCACGTGTCGCGGTGTCCTTATAGCGCGGCGCGGAAGCCACGTGTGGCGCCTCTAATAGCGGCTGTCCGTGTCCGGGTGAGACGTGCGTGCGCCAAGATAAATCGCGCGTACGCGGGCAGCAGGTAACCTCGTTCAATTCGAGCTATACTCTTCTCTCTCTCTCTCTCTCTCTCTCTCAGAAAAATTCTTTTACGCCGCGTCTCGTGTTGCTACTCGACTAGCCGGCGAAATGTTTGCTCCGAACATTTTTCATTGTGCTGAAATACCAAAACTGTTTCGAATTGATGCTTAGCATGATGCGTTACATAGTTTTACAGAGCCGACGTGGTAGCCAAAGAACAGTCGGCATGTCAATGTGTGCGCGCACACGCTGGAGATTCAACGGTAAAAAGATTCTGTCCATTTTCGCGCGCGATGCGAGCATCGCTGTTAATTATCAGTCTATTGTTCTCTGTAATTTTATTCATTGGGACTATCAAAAAGAGCGGAATCGCAGATAAAAGAGCGCGCGCGCGGTCTGTTTGCGGAACTTTCAAACGTCCGGCAAAAATTGCGCGCTTGTATTTCACGGTATGCACAAAGCTAATTACTCCGCTCCAACATATTTCGGTACATTTGGCTCTGTCGGCCCCAGGCTTTTTCGCCTCTCCTTCGCGATTTCACCCTCCGCTCTCTTCCAAGTCTTTCTTAACGAGATCCGCTCGCCGAATCTGCGGCGTCTTGCGTAGCACAGTGCGAAAATTAAAGATCCCTGCGAGAAGTCGGACGGACAATTTGACAATTAAACGAAAAGTTTCGAGATGGAGAGAGACAATTTTCAGCGTTTTTATCGTCTTACAGTTCGAGCCGCTTGTACATACGTTTCGCATAGCAAAGATGCTTTCTTTTTCTACAGTTTGTTTCCTCCTCGCGATCGAGATGGCCCGACACTTGCGCTCGTCGCGGCCCCCCCTCCCCCCCCGGGGTTTTTTGAGGAAAATCGAATGCGGGACAACTCGAAGATGTCCGTTCTGTTTGTCCGTTCGCATTCGGAATTTCTTCCCTTTGACAACTAATCACGTAAGGGTTTGCGCGGGACTTTTTCCTCCTCTTTCCTCCAACGGCAGCTATCGCGCGCGTGCTCGATCTGATAGCCTAATGCACGGCTTCCTATGCGGAAATGCCTCGCTACATTATTCTACGCTCCTACGTCCGTGCACGGCCAACCCTCTCCATCCTTTCCCACCCTAGATCATCGTTGTACTTTTGTCACGAGAACGGCCCGAGAACCACCATCGCCGCCACCTGCTACGTCGATTACTATATTGTCCGCTCGTTCCCGCTATAAAATATACAGAGACCGTAACGACGATCGCAGAACCGTGAGTGCGTTCTTACTGATTGTTCAATCGCCGACCATCGATATCATCATTGATATCAATGAGACGACATGTATACCGCAGCGAGGAATAAAGAAGGCGCAAAAGTTCCATTTTTTTTTCCGTTCGCTGATAATGTAACACGCAGCTTTAATGTGATACGTAGCTTGCTCATAGTCGCGCAATATTTATGGCTAATTATCATATGCGGCCGCTGGCAAAGTTGCTATAAAGAGAGACGACAAAATTAGTCGCGCACACTATCGCCGTTCTGATATTTAACTAAAAATACGAGAGACAGTTATCCGAGAACACGCTGAGAGTATCCAACATATAATACATGATAGAAACGTGTAATTTCTTTCTCACAAATAGCTTCGCATACACACACACACACACACACACACACATATACATGCGCGCTCACACTGACTAGGCTCGTGCATTAATAACGTGGATATAAGAATAACGAATAAGTAGAATTTAATCATATCATATTTACCTCCCCCGTCGCCGCGATGTCATTTATCCGCGTAAGCCCAACGGCACGGCAGACGCCGTAGAAAATCGGATCCGAGGAGAGACAGATAGATAGAGAGGGAGAAGGGGAGGAAGAATAGAGCGAGGAGCAGAGTGATAGAAAAAGAGCGGCGGCGAGAGACGACCGTGCACAAAGCGATCGTTCGCACCCTATTTTCTCACGCTCACGCTCGCGTCGAATCGAAAGCACGTCCGATATCTTACGGAGACTCGTTGACGTCGCGCGTACATCATCGGACCTGCTTATACCGACGATATTGACAGCCTTCGTTCGATGAAGCACGCCGTGGGGGATGATTGGGGTCGTCTACGATCCAGGCTACCGTGTGTGTGCGTGTTCTCGCGTCTGCCGCGCCATGTGTGTACGTGTGTTGGTGTGCGCACGTACCCGTCTCTATCTCCGCGCATCTCTCCCCGTTCGTCCGACCTGTCTGTCTGTCTGTCTGTCTGTCTGTCTGTCTGTCTGTCTGTCTGTCTGTCTGTCTGTCGGTCGGCTGGCCGATCGGTCGGTCGGTTCACCCCCGCGTGCGCGAAAAAGAGAAAGAGCGCGAGAAAGAGAGATGTGCGGGCGGGCTGGGGTTCGTTCGTTATCAGATCCCACGGTAGGACACGCGACTGAGGTAGCAGATCCTATCTGCGGGATGGAAGAAATTTTATGTCGTATAATGGACAACGGACGACGCACACGACACGGCCTTAACCGCGCGCGCGCGCGCGCGCGGACGGCGAATCGACTTCGCGCGAAAAAGCCAGCCGTCTCGGTACGCGGTTGGCGCTCTGCGAGAATCGGCCAGCGATTTTCCGCGCCTACAATCGCGCGTACGTGCGAACGCGCCGCCGTTTCTTTACGCGACACCTTCCCACCGTCCGCTTCTCTCCATCCTCTCTCTCACCGCTCGTATTTATTATGCGGGATTACATATTAAAATTTCCATTAAGCGCGAGAGGGGAAATTTACCTCTTTAGAAATCAAACGTGGACGACTGGACGCTCACTCTTTCCTTGCGATGTCTCCGGGGCTCGGCAACCGACCGACGCGTTTTACTCGCGCAATTTCTGTTACACGTGTGCAAACATTTGCGGCATGTCATCGGCTCGCGGAACATCTCCTGACAAGTGTTTGGGCAGTTCAAATAGCCTTCTCTCCCACCTTCGCCCTTTCTCTCTCTCTCTCTCTCTCTCTCTCTCCCTCTCCTCTCTCTCTCTCTCTCTCTCTCTCTCTCTCTCTCTCTCTCTCCCCCTCCCTCCCTTTCGAATTCTTGGCGTCGGGTTAAGAGAAGGGATTTATACACAGGGCGAGAATTAATCGGGCTAAGTATACAAATAACATCCGTGAAAAACCCCACGAGGCGAGGAAAGGCGATATCTTCGACAAAAGGAGATCTTCGAGTGGCGGTTGACGAGAGAAAACGCGAGCTAATGAGACGGCCACAGGCACAGAGCAATATAATGCCGCGAGAAGGGCGCGAGGAGACAGCGCGGGGGGGAGGGGGGCAGGGCAGTGGAGAAGGAGGAGTATACGATACGAATGAAGAATCGAAAACTCTCGAGTCGTCGAATAATGAAGTCCGCCGCGATAAATTTACCCAGTCACGCTTTCGAGGGGTTGCTGCTTATCGTCGTGAAATATTGGATAATTCTCGCGGAATGGGGGAACGAGGCTCGGGGTGGGTACTCAGTGTGCGCGAGTTCTCTCTCTCTCTCTCTCTCTCCCCCTCTTTCTTTCTAATTTCTCCTTCGCCTCATTCTTATCAATCGACGATCATTTCGTGGACGGACATTACCGTGTCGTCGTGTTCGTCCGCGGAGCGTACCTACGTCACCGCCGCCGCCGCCGCGCCGCCGCCGCCGCCATGTAGTCGGGGGTAATGACGCGGTAATTTTCTAAACACAAATTTCCTTTTTCAACCCTTATCTCCGCGCCCGTCGGACACGTGACCGGTCGTTAGCGTTCGCGTTCCTCCTTCGTGCGGTCTGTCTACGCGCTCTAAGTAACTACCGCCTGTCCCGACACGCACCTCCGCCGCTTCCAGGTAAAAGCGCGCCTTGCTTATATCGAGCGTGATCTTCTCACCTGGTGACATGCCATTATCGGCAAGCCGCGACGGCAAGAACTCCCGGCGGCAACTCGTAGCAATTAGAAGCGGCGGGATGAAACAAATAAAAAAAAA